CAAAAATAATAAAAATTAACCACAATAACAAAAAAATGGTAACAGTACGACTAAAGCTTTAAGTCGCTAAAGACAAAACTAATGACAAAAGTACCCAAAGTTTTCTAGAAATAAGAATATTTGTCAAACTATAAACTTAAAATTTTCAAAATTCGTTTAATTTAAAAGGCTCTTCTTTAAAAAAAATATTCTAAGATGTCTTAGCTATGAAAAGATTGTAAATGGTACAATCTTTGTTAGTGCAAAAAATAACACAATTTTTGCTAACGAATTTTATTCAGTTCAAATGTTTTTTAATTTGATAGTAGACATGCGAAGTATTCAAATTTTAAACTCAACAGAAATTTAAGCTTTGGTCAAACCAATTTGGACCATTTTTCTGTTTTGTGGTTAATTTTTATTATTTTGTTCATTTAAACTTTGGAACCGCACCCTAAATAACATTTCTAGGATCACAGAAATGACAAAATTACCCAAGGTTTTCTAGAATTAAAACTATTTGCCAAACTATAAATTTAAAATGTTCAAAATTTGTCGAATTTAAAAGACTCTTCTTTAAAAAATATTCTAAGATGTCTTAGCTATCTAAAGATTGTAAATGGTACAATACCTGTTAGGGCATAAAATAACATAACCTTTGCTAACGAATTTTATTCAGTTCAAATGCTTTTTAATGAGAGAGATATTGATAGTAGACATGCGGAGTATTGAAATTTTAAACTCAACCAAAATTTGAGTTATAAAAACACAATCTGAAATATTATAACCATAAAGTATTCATCGGATCCATTTCCTCGCTTCTGTGACAAGCGCAACAAAAGCATATTTTTGTTAAACTTTGCAGTTTGGAAACAATTCAAATATGCAAAATGTAGCGCTATTTGCATAACGTTTGTGTTTGAATTTTCGATGCTTGTGGTGTAGGCAAAGCTTTGTCTGCGTGCCGGATTCCGGCATGGCCGACCAGGGTGAGCTTTAAAGCTCGGATCGATTTCACGGATTTGCGCCGCCCCGTAGCACGCCTACGCTATTTTAGGGTTGGAACCGCCCATCGCCTACGCACCGTTACATTTCCAAGGATACGCGCGTGCTACCCTTTGGCCTTTCCTTTGAGTATTCAATTAATGCTTAGAAAAAAGCTCTTTCTTTTGACTCAAAATTATAATACTCATTTTCATTGTATATTCTTACAATAGTAAAAAAACATCTGAATTTGATGTTATGACTTCTCTGAGCTTTGTTGAGTAGCAAAGATATGACAAAGAATTTGGCGTAGGTTGGTTTGAATGTCACTGGGTTGTAGTTTCATGCTTTTGACGTAAACACAAAATTGAATGTCATAGTTCAGAATGTTATAATGTTCACAATGCATCGCTTTGCTCTGTAATAATTGCTTTTGATATTAATTGCAACATCCAGTTCCTGTATGAGCACTTGAAAATTGCACAAATAATGTAATTTCTTAGAGATTGATAATAGAGTAGAGCGGGGTACAAAGATCCACTTTGACTTCTAGCAATCATACTGTCTAAGCAAAATAATCTACATAACACTTAACACGTATCAAATATACAACTATCAAATTATCTTCTGATAATTATAAATGCTTCTTTACTATTTTGCTAAAATCTGTCCCATTTTACCTCATAGGCTGGGTAAAGAGGGGTAGCCAGGGAGGCAAACAGATTCAATGTTTAATTTTCAATTTTAAAAGGATTTTACAAAATAATAGCTGCACTAATTAATTAATGTAAAATACAATTTTTATGGGCACATTTTCTACAAAGATCACACTGTACCTTGATCTGGTATTTCGTCAGCAGCAATATTCACCAGCAAAGTTGATATAACTATTATTTTATTGCATCTCTTATAAAATTGCTTATTTTATTCACTTTATATTTTTTTTATTATTTTCTTGATTTTTACGACTTTTCCAAGGTAAAGGTTTAATTGGTCTTTTTTACCCCGCCCGCATATAAGCTTTTATAGAACAAACTGTTGAATCTCATTAAAAATAACAACGCATCTTCTAAAACAATTGAATAACTTTTTTTTTAACTCTGTTTTATTCAGCAATCAGAAATACATAAGAATTCCTATAAGCTAAATTGACAATATTTGAGAGCGATGTCTAACAATAAGAAGAACTCCAATGAGATCTTCTTAGATATATTGAAGATAATCTAAGACTAAATCTAAAGGCTATTGACGTTGAATAACGTATACTTAAAATCTGTATTCAGGTATCATAAACTAAATACAAGAGCTCAAAACCAAATATACTGCCAACGAAAGAAATTACTTATATTATAAATATTGAAACATGAATGTTTATCTCTTCAGACATCGACATTGTAAAGTTAAGGTAAAAGCTGGTTACACATCTTTTGCTTTTTACTTTAAAATAGTATCAATAAAAAATCTATACTTGCCCTTGTTACTCGTGTTTGAAATAATGGTGGTGGACCTTTCTACCCATGGAAATACTTCAAATGAAGTTTCAGTAGTTGTGCTCGTAATATTTATTAAACATGGCTTGTACATTTAAATTGCAATAATTTTGTATGAATTTTCCAATAACATTTTTGTGATGATTTATTAGTAAATGAAACATAAATTTACAGCAAATAACCATGTATTTTCTTATCTAAACGTTTCAGTTTCAAGAAGCTGGTAAAATAAAATACTCGTTACCATTTCCATCCGGAAGGAGCCATTTCATCGCAAGCATTAAGCCATGTCGATCGATGTTTTCCGAATCTGCCGAACTAGAGAACAAGAAGAGCGGCCCCGATGCAATCCACGATGTAAATAACTGGGTCAAGTCATTGAGCGTAGACGGAGCTTGCGTGCCCTTATATCTCAGGGTACGCACAAACAGATCACCCAGTGAAAGTAGATACTGGGTAAGAAATTTTGATACTACAATTGTACTATGAGGACGTCAATTTATTTGGGTAAATTATAATAATGCATTGGCGTCAAATATATAATTCTGAGTCATGTAATACATCAGCAAAGTTGTGGCACGTGTTCTTTAACATATATTACGTAATCCCTCCTATACGTAACGAAATATTAAGAATGAATTAGGTTGCAACTAAATATTTTTTAAAATAATTATTTTATTAATTCTTAAACCGGTTACTATTATTTATCATTCATTATGTAACACTATTTTGTGAGAATTTTAATTAAATATATATAGATTATATAGAGGTAAAGCAAAGCTTGAACGCTCGAAGGTAAAAAGGTCCACCTCAAAAACCAGTAGAGTATGATATTTTTTCAATATTATCTCAAAAACAAGCAGAGTATGATATTTATTATCGATTTTTAAATTTTAAAGTAGATGACACAATATGTGTAACCAGGCAAATCCGATGATGCCTGTATCACGAGTTAAGATAAAGGACTACATTGCCAAATTGTTAATGAAAGATTTTTTTTCAAAGTTAGTTTTTTTGGTTTTAAGCATTTTTGCTCAAATTTAGTTCCAGATAACTGAATAAAATCTTTAAGTATAAGTAATTTAAGTAATACGTTAATAATAAATATTGTTATTTTTATGTTAGATCCAACAGTTTTCTCTATATAAAACCTTTATAAAAGCTTACATGTAGTTAGGGTAAAAAAAAACAACTCAACCTTCACACTAGCAATAGTAGATAAAGAAGTAGGATATGGTGGGAAACAAACGTCCAATTTGATTAAGTAATTATACTGTCTTAATCAAATGAACTACACGACAACACATAACACGTATCAAAGAACTATTGAAATATGTACAAGAAAAATTTCAATTAATTCCTAATTATGAAAACATGTTTTCTGTATATTCATAATAGGATAGTTTCTATAATTCTTACTGTTTTTCTAAAATTTGTCATCAGTTTCTTTTAGAATAGACTGGATAAAAAAGACAGCCAAGGGCAAGCAGATCCATTGTCTTATTTTTAATTTTAAAGAAATTTTAAACCAATGCAAAATACATTTTTTTAAATTTTATTTTCAAAAGCAATCAGAATACATGACAATTCTATGAGCTATTTGGCTTATGTCATTCATTCGCACACATACACACACTTTTTTACAAAGATCACACAGTATATAACCTTGATCTGGTACTAATGTGCCCATGAAACTTATATTTCGCATTGATTAAATAATGTAACTATTTCTATGTAAATCTCTTTAAAATTTAAGATAAGACATTGGATCTGTTTACACCCTGGCATTCCCTTTTCACTCTGGCTATGGGGTAACAAGGGACAGATAACAAAATTTAGCAAAATAGCAAAAAGCATATTTCTATGATTAGAAAATAACTAAGAATTTTACTGAAAATAGTTCGTTAGTTGTTTGTTTGATATATGCTATGCCCTTTGATATAATTTGTTTAGCTTTTACTGTATAGTTACTGAAAATCAAATTGGATCATTGTGCCCCACCCTTCTCTATTCAAAAATGTATTGAGCTAGAACCATCGTTACGCCTGCAAAACATAAGCATTAGAATTATTATTATAACTAGCATTTTTACTGAAAATATATGCTATGTCGTCTGATGTAGTTCTTTTGGTTTTTACTGTATAGTTACTAAAAATCAAATTTCATTGTGTCCCGCCCTACACTTTAAAAATGTATTAAGCTAAAAACATCGTAAAACATAACCATTAAAATTATGAATATGTGCAAATTATCATGTGGTTGTTATTTTAATCACACGTTCATATGAAAGATGAGATTAATTCATCCACCTTCCACAAGCTGATAAAATTAGGCCAACCCTGAAGAAACCGTGCTGGTTGTACTAAACATCCCAAACCCTCGAAGTGTCGTCATCGGCCCACACAAACCAACACAGACACAACTTCTGTTACAATGTATGACGTCACGGGGCGGTTTTAACGCTCCGGAGGTTGCGCGCCATCAGCGGTCCTCGTGCGCGGTCCTTCAGCGCCGCTTGTCTTTCGAATCCGAGCGCACAGCATCCGAGCAGATCCCGGACGGAGCTCGATTGCCCAACATCCACCAAGTAGAGAGGACCTGTCGTTTTGTGATTACCGACAGGGCATTGAGTAAGTTAAGATCCCTGTGCCGAAAGGGACTCGCGAGTGTCGCACGACCGTAACAGTTTTGTGCCCACCACGGACAGCAAGTCACCCATAGAACATCTTTTAGAGGTAAGTCAAATATAATGGTCATAGGTGAAAAATTACTTTGCTCTATACACCATAGAATTAAAATTATTTTAGACTACAACATAATATATTTGTATTTGAGTTTACTTCAAATTATTTGTATTTTATGAGATTAATCCATTATTTCGTTGTGTTACGTAACGCAATTCAATATGGCAGAAGATATGGATATACATTTAAGGATTCTCGATATTTTGTCAATTCATATCGGTCACACTAAATATCTACTTATAACACTGATCAGTGATGTATAGTTTACACTTTTTTTTCTTTTAAAATTTTATTTGGCCTCGCTTACTCAGAGCAGTTAGCCACCTACAACATTTCACTTTATCGCATTTCATACTATATTTTATGGCATATACAATCTATGTACACATCCATAATATACTTCTAACTTCTAATTCTATTCCATTTCTATCTTTCTTTATTTCTCCATTATTCCTTGTCTGATATTTTTCCTTCTTACTCTTACTTTCCCTTATATGCAGTGAAAAATATAGTTAACACTAACAATAATAAAATAAATCAAGACAATTGAAATTACAAGATTTTAAATTTGAGTAAAAAGATTTTATATTTGATGTTTATATCCAACAGATTCAAACATGACGTCAAATTCGTGTAACTATCATTTAACGGAGAAAACAGCTAAATTACTGGCTACTGGTAAGTATTTATTAATTTAGTAAATATTATATATACATATATATATATATATATATATATATATATATATTTATAATTTTACTCCTTGTTTACAAATTACTTGACAAATCGTAGATATTTTATTAATATTTTCTGGTTCTTGAAAAAGTACCATAGAATTACATAGAGAAACATAAATAAGTCAATAGCTACGGTTGGATTTCTGATTTCTAATAAATTTTATTTTATATTTTTTTATATTTTATATACCATATCAGTATATTGGTTATTACAATGAATTTATATTGTGGTTTGTGAGATGGATATATGAATTACAAATAATAACGGTTATTTTCAACATGTTTTGCCTTCAAGAAGGTGCAATATATTATAAATAAAATTTAGATTGCAAATAATCAACACGTTATTTTTTTTTTAAATATATATTAGTAGTAGGTACTTTCTGTGTTTATTAACAACTTTAGACGTTAGCTTGATAGCTCCTGGGTACATTAGCTGGATAGCTATTGTGTATGATTTTATTTTTCTGAACTAAAAGCGTCCTGTTTTTCATCGAAAAATTATTAATTTAATTATTCACTTTTAAATATTCACTACGTTTCGGAGATATGGAATGTCCCTTTGTTCAGGAACTTCCTCTTTTTACTCAAAAAATTATTTATTATTAATTTATAAATAATCTCTTTTGTTCAAGGTCAAAGTTCTTTTGATCAAGAATATTAAATTATCGAAACCATTTTTTTAATAAAACACTTAACAAAAATCAAATTGTACTTTCACTAAAAATTAATTATAAAAATACCTCGAGCTTTGCGTTTTACACTTATGAGTGTATAGAAAGACCATATATACGTTATTTATTTGTTTTAAAAGATGTATTGTTATTTTTAAGTTAGATTAAACAGTTTTTTATATAACCTCTATGAAAGTTTACACGTGGGTGGGGTAAAAAGGATCAACTGAGCCTTTATGCTAGCAAAGGTGTTAACAATAAAAAAATAGTACATAAAACAGTAAATCAAGTTAAAAAAAACGATTTTACATGAGATAAATATTTATTCCAACTATGCTGATAATTATTTCTGACAAAAAACTAGATCAAGGTTGTATACAGTGTTATCTCTGTGAAAATGTACGCATGAAATTAATATTTTGCATTGGTTGAATAATGTAGCTATCACATTGTATCTGTTGCGCGATGGCTGTCCCTTGTTACCCGGCCAAGGGGTAAAAAGGGCCATGTTACAAATTTTTGAAAAACTGCAAAAAAAATATTTCTACAATGATTGGCAGTTTTACTGAACATAATCAGATAGTCGTTTGTTTGATATGTGTAATTTGTTTTGGATATAATTGGTTTGGTTTTCAAAATATAATTGCTCAAAGTCAAATTGGATCTTTGAGCCCCGCAAAATCCTTTCAATCCCTGTCTATGTTATTCAGTCTATGGGGTAAAAAGAACCAAGTTACAAGTTTTTGAAAAACAGCAAAAAACAACATAGTCAGATAGTTGTCTGTTTGATTAGTGTAAATTGTTTTGATATAATTGGTTTGGTTTTCACAAAATAATTGCTCAAAGTCCAATTAGGCCTTTGTGCCCCGCCCTACCCTATCTATTTTTAACAAACAAGCTAATAAGGTGAAAAATAAAATTCAACTGTTTCTATGAATTATTTGCCCATAATTAAGATTATGTACAATTTGTTCAACAACGTCATGGACCTCTTAACGCTACAGAATCGTGCAATATCGCAAATATGATAATTTGTATAATGAAATCTTTAATTTTAATTTTTTTCATTAAAGTTTAATCTTCAGTCATATATAACAATGTGTCTAAATCTTCTGGTTAAAGCTAGTCATTTCACTATCAAACGCCAAAGTAAGTTACCCCTGTCATAGAATTTTGGCGTTAAGTAGAGAATCGCCTCCCCTGTAATATGGTATAGTAAAACGGAAGAGGCGCGTTTGTATCGCGGCTTCTGTGCACGAGTACCGGTTTCAGGAACAGGAAATAGAAGTCTTATCTGACTTGTTCGGCTTTTTCGCGGGGCTGGCGGCCGACTGCGCGCGGTGCACGTGACATATCAGTAAACACATCGAAAGCATCTCTTTTATGAATGCATTTCGGTCCATTGTTGGCTGGCTCGGTTTACCTTGTTGCGGGCGCTTTCAGATAATACCAGAATTTAGGGCATTTATGATATTGTATACTCGCACAATACAATGAACCCACATATTTATTTTCATTTTGTAGCGTTTATTTTGTTATCAACATGACGAGAATAGAATAGTTGAGTAACATACAAAAAACATACGACTGTTTTACTTCAGTTCATATTTTTGCCAGTAATTGCGACCTGCTAATTTCATATTTTTTCAACATTTCATATCTTTCTCAAACTAGACCTTCCACTTTCTGGTTGCACCAATTTCATTTTAAAAGTAATTTGATAAAACTCTATTAGGAATCTTATTGATTAGTTATATAGTTATTAGTTTATTAGTTTCGTCCACGGTTTAGTCAAAAAATTCTAAACCGATTTTAAGAATTCAAAAACTATGTGTGTATGTTTTTGATAAAGATAGGTCGGATTACTTCGTTATTAAAAAATATTTTTTGACGATTTTGATGAAGTTTTTTGTAATGATAAAGTTCATGGTACAAACGAACATACTAAAATTTAACAAACATATGACAAGTGGTTTGGTTATAAAAGTTCAATAAAATTAAAGTTGTTATAGAAATAATAGGATATGCGTAACAATACATCGTGTTAAATAATGTAACTATTTGACGAGAAAAACTAACAGGTTTGGCAAATTTGTACAAAATTGTTTAGTTTTTCTATATTATTTGAACAGCGATCACAACTTAAGGGATCTATAAGCTAAGCTGCTGTGATATTTGATTAAAACAACTACGTCTATTTTACGGAATCAATCTAAATATTGGTCCTACATCCACGTGATAAATTTATTGATGTAGCAATGCCGGGAAAAGACTATTTTCACTTGGCAGCATACTGCTAACTTTGTTTCCAGTTAAAAACCAATGTCACTACTTTTTGAAATCAGGCTGCCCGAGGGTGTTATAGAACCTGGGACCCTTGCTTGAAATCCCATAGCTCTAACTACTAATGTAAGGACGAGGCCATGTAAAATTAAATATTATGCAACAGTTTATAATAAAGCTTATAAATTAATATTATATATTGGTCTCTTATTGATTAAGTCAATTAATTACAAACATCAAGAAGTTTATGCAACCTGCCTTGAGTCAAAATGTAACTTCCACCTAGTTAGTTTATTAATATTATTTTAATAATTAAATCATATAATAATAGTATGAAGGCTAAGGGCTTCCTTAATGTAACAGGAGTAAGTAGGAACAGACGTTTTTCAATAGAGGGGCGTCCATTAATCATGTGAGCGAGTTTTTAAAGATTTTTGGACCTCCCTTCCTCTTGGTGATACATGGTGACATTCGAAATTACCCCCCCTCCCCCACCAAACATCACGTGTATTTTTAATTACGTAATAAAACTGTGAATTTTTTTTTTGAAAATATTTGAATTTAAAAAAAAAACAGTTAAAAAATAAATACACGTGATATCTTACTATACCCCTCCCTCCTCCACGTGATATTTCGTGATTTTTTGTCAAAACTCCCTCCCTCTAAAAACCTCACGTGATTAATGGACGCCCCCTAGGATCTTGAACGATATCAAAATATTTTTTTGTCTCCTTTGGACATGTAAAACGACCTGCATAATATTGTCATAGCTCCTATATTATAACTTTTCATGAATTTTATACCATTATTTTAATAATTTTTCTTTTGACTTGATTTACCTACTCAATTTTTTTTATTCTGTCTAGTTGAAGACATTTAGTGAATTTGTTCCTACAAACTCAATAGTTGGTATTCCATTCGTTATAAATAATAGTAACAATATTTTAATGATAATAATAAAAACTGAACTATTTTCTTATAAATAAAAACTAATAGTAATAGTAAGTTCAAACAGTTGTCTCAAAACCTACACCCTACCATATGTAGGTTTTGAGACAACTTTTAGGTGTCAATATACAAGTATTTACAGACTGGGTATCTCGAATTCCGAGATTCTTACCTAATTTAAGCTTAAGTGACTGGACTATAAGTTATTTCAATCTTAATCAGGAAAATTGACTTAAATCAAGTGGCGATTTTCAATTCAGTCTACAACGATAGTTATCACTTTTCACTTATTGTTAGTAAGGAGCTTGCTAGTGAATTTGAATGACTGATAAGTTTGTTTCTAAATTTATGCGCTTTTTTGTTATTACATATTTTATGGTAGGTGTATTCGTGTCGAGATGAATTAGCCAGTTAGGAACATATATTTAACTACATTGGATACAGGATCCAATTTAGTTAAATATATGTTCCTAGTTAGAAACGTATCCTCTTTAAAATGACTGAATATTATTTATTTATAATAGTATTTATTTTTAAATCTATATTATGTATAATAGTATTTATTTTTAAATCTATTACCCGCTCCGATAATTTTTCGATTCCACCGGCGGTCAGTGTCGCGCGACGACCGCTTTTAGTGGCGGTTTACACAGTGGATGCACAGGCGGAGGGAGTCGCGTTTTCCGTTCTATCCGAACTCGTCGTTCGGGGTTGGAACTATTAAATCATAGCCCCTCGTAGCCTGGTATGCGACTATTACACGCTCGACTTGAGTAAAGGCATTCGACGACCGACAGAAATACTGTACCGACTTTGTAAAGACTGGATCACATTACATACATCACATGATTACAATAGAGTCGAAAGTGATAATAGACAATTTTTAAAATTTAACTATTAATAGATAACTTGATTTATGTCCTTATATAATGTTTCAAATAAAAATTATAACTGCTATTAATTTTTTTTAAAAACGCAATATATCAGAATTTAATATCCACCTATTTTTAGAAACATATAAAGCCTGTATTCTTAT